TATAGCTGACTGAAGAAAACAACAGTGTCCACATGCCATTTATCAGACACTACTGTACTTGTGGTTCTATCTGACGACAAGGTGGCGTGAGATAAGAGTTCAAAAAGACAAAGGTTCATCCTCTACAGGTCATGCACAAGCCCAGAAAATACAACGTATATAGTGTATAAGTGGACATTTTAGTGTAATGGTGGTGCAAACTGGTTAAGATGTCTCTCTCTCTCTCTCTCTCTCACACACACACAGACAAAATTTAGAGACATCTTCTGTTGACCATGAATGTCCATAGCGTCCAATTGCATCTTCTACAAAGTAACTAAATCAGCATTCTTATGCCGCACATATGGTGATGTAAAAACTATGCAGGACCACTGCAGACTCATTGCAGATGGGATTAAAAGGTCTATATCAGTCTCTGGGGTGACTACTGCACTCAGAGACTTCAAAGTCATATCAGAGCTGGTTTGACAATAGCACCTTTGTGGAAAAGATAAATCACCTGCAGAGGAATTTTTTAAATGCAACTGGGTGAAGGAATGTTTCATGTATAGTAGGTCTATATATGATCCAATGCAGTCATAGGAGGTTTAAAATGTGGGTGAAGGACTCAGGGGCAACAAACACTTGGTAGATTCTTCCACTCCCTCTTTAATCTGCTTTTTTACTTAAAGGTAGGGTTGGTGATCCTGGAAAAACTAGCAAGAGGAAGTTTGATTTTGAAAGTAGACAACCGAAGAAATCCCACCCTCTCATTCTGACTTCTGCTTCATGGCTAAACTGCTTTAGCCCTGGCTCGTAGATAGCAATGCATGTGGCCTTTGATGCCTAGTTTACTACATTACAATCCTATCTATACACTTAGAGCTGACTACTGTCTGGCTGCATGTAAAAAGAGTCTGTTTAGTGCAGCGGTCTTCTCTCTCTTGCACTGCAAGCAGGTAGCAACAACATTACCCATATTGTGTACATCACATTTAATTCTGTAGCTGGAAAAGATGGAGCTCATTTTAACTACTTTATATGCTTAAAATATAAATTACTGCTGGTAGCTTGTGAATTTTACAACCAAGGATCAATACATCTTGTGATTATACTGTATTTTGTTCTAATAGCCTCATTCTGACTACTAAATCACCACCTGGGCGGATGTGGCTCAGGAGGTAGGGCGGTTGTCTTTTAACTGGAAGGTTGATGGTTCACTAAAGTCATCAAATAAATGCAGTACGAAGTACAATATCTTTCTCTGAAATGTGGTGAAGCTAAAGTAACAGAAAATGAAAATAATCACACACCTCAAAATTGTACTTAAGTACAGTACTTGAGTGAATGTACTTGGCTACTTTCCACCTCTGTGAAAGGAATCGCCAACCCTAGCTTTAAAGTGAAGTTACAATGTGCATACACTATATTATAATGCTGAGCACGATAGTCACTTGGAATAATTAATTTCTTCCTGGTTCATATTGCCAATGTGAAAACAAGTGCTAAAACTCCATGCATAAAGCAGGAATCTAATCACATGGCTTTGGAAACCAATTACATAGCAGTTCATTCAGAGAGAACCTGACATGGACACTTCCCAAAACCCCAACAACACACTCAAATCTCCAAAAATCTTTTGAGTTTGGCTTTAACTGCTCCAGTAGCCCAAAAATTCCACAGCTTCGCACCATAGCATCACACAGCTATTTTAAATTGTCTTGCTAGCATTTACACTATATGCCATCATATAAAGATGATCAATTTTATTGGCCAGTATGTTACACAGAAGGAATTTGTCTCCACTACAGAACCAAGGTAGCCATCTGCAGCACCAACTCAACCACACACCCATGCTGGTGCTGTCCCTGCATGGCAGCTGGTCTGACCATCGGGAGCAACGTCTTGGTCCAACACATGGACTGGGGAGAACGGGAATCAAACCAACAACCTTCCAGTTAAGGGACAACCGCCCTACCTCCTGAGCCACATCCACCCAGGTGGTGATTTGGTGGATCTGCACAAACCAGTCATTCTCACACAAGCTCAGTTACAACTGGAACGGGGCAAGATTTAACTGAGGAAATCTTAGGACCATCAGCCTATTATTCAGTGAAACTTTACAAGACTTTCACGTCACCATGTACAGTACGGCAACTCAAACAGTGAAAACGTTCGACAGGCATTGTTCGTCTGTCACCTCAAGGCCGGTTCGCTCCTCTCAGACATCTGTTTGTGTGCCACTAACATGCATAACAGATGATAGCAATAAGAAAATAAACAGTGTGCAATGCTGTGGATTCCAGACATGACGTACACAGATGCTTGGCAGAACGCCAATCTAAGATCAACAGGGCATGGATGTTTTAAACAAGTCCATTACAGCTCAGAAGCACAATGTCAACCTATAGCAGGTACACCGGTCACTGTATCAACAGTCCTGATGAGGAAACACTCAGGAGACAACGCTGACTGTAGAAGATGATGATGTGATTAAGTGAATCCGCTTGGCACAATAAAAGCATTCCATGAAATTTATGCAAAATAAAGACATTTTGTGTGCATGATGTATGCAACATACCAAACATATCTTTTCATTCATGTAAAAGGAAACCTATTAATTGCAGATGTTCCTCTGTAGATGTCAGGACTGGTCATCTAGACTATTGATTCACTCAAACTGATTTCACACCCAAATGAGAAAGATTTGCCAACTTTGGTTTTTGACATTTAAAGTGCATATTGAGAGGCAAGATGACAGCAATCATACATTTAAGGCTGTTTTAGATGTGGAGTCATGAAGCATTCTACAGTGTGTGTATCAATAAAATAAAACCTCAAAATATGTTTAGGGGCTTCATATTTATGAGATTTGATGTTGAACAAATATCAGTCAGCTGGTAGTCTGAATTCCCAAAGCGCTCCAAAAACTATTCTTGACTGAAGCCGTTAAATTCAATTGGCCTATAGGGGGAAAATCCTGAAGCCTTATTGTTTCACTGTGGTCTAGGTTTAGACATAACAGCCTGACAAATTTACTGTCACACCAAAGAGCAATAGAGTAAAAGATAAAGAGAGTTAAAGCATCAAAGTTGGGCCGACTGAAGCTGCTGAGTGTTGGTTGAGTGGCTCATGAGAAATGAAGGATTTTCAGCTGGATTCAGGCTGCGCTGAATAAATGATGTAACTACCTCCAGGTGACTTACAGTACAGTACGCATCAACCTGCTGTAGTGATTGGCTGTTAGAGACTTCAACATCACATTCTTCAAAATGTCCTGGTATTTCAAAGAATCCATGATGCCAGTCACATGGTTAATTGCACAGGTTTGAAAGGTTGCATTTTCTATTATCAGTTTGATGTCACAACTCGTACAAATTTCTAAAAATTCAAAATCATACAAACACCAGCGGTGTAGTGCTATTTGTTGAAGCACTGGAGCGCACCTATGGCATGTGCACAGTTAAGTTGTGGCTTATTTTGAGGACCATGTAAACACTTTTCCTACAGTGGCAAGTTTACAAAGTTGTATGTTAAAGTTAGTCGGGTGTAAACGCTCACATGAGCAAATGTTAGACTGACTTTATTAACAGTGTGAATGTTATAGCCACAGATAATCTTATACTGTATGTTCATGAGAAAACAGTAGCATTATCGCAGGACCTGTAACACCTGAACATTTTGCTGTACCCCGCATTGTACAGTACTAGTGTGTCCCCACATTTCAGATAAATTTTAATATTTACTAGCTCATTTACTACTCATTTACTAGCTCTCTTGCGGGACATGCACTCTACTGATGATTAGATCTTCAAACACTAACAAAAATGTAATGTTATATGAATTGCAACTGGATTATATGCATTATTTTTCCTGGATTCGCAGAGAGCAGGAGGAGAGCAAGACAGGAGGTGCAAGAAGAGGAACCTGCTCTATGAGAAATGGCGTGGAGGAAGGAGGTGAAGCAGACCGGTGAACAGATCAACTTTCTCACCTCCAAGAACCAAGAGCTCCAGGTACAACATCTCAGCTGTCTGTTTTATCTTATTGGATTCCAACTACTTGTTTGAGAATTCGTTTTTAGTTGTGGAATAAAAGATTTCACTTTTTTCAGAGGCTCATCCTCAACACAAAGGAGCAACTGGAGAACAATATTAAAGTGGAGCAGGAGAAGGAAAACATGGCAGAGCAAGAAAGGGGGAATGGAGGAAAGTGAAAGACAGCATGATAAGGAAGGAGGAGAAAGAAAAAGAAAAGATGAAGAAGAAAGAAGAGGAGGAGGGAGAAAAAGAAACAGGAGGGTAGCAGAACATTCGTCCTCCTGAAGCCCCACCCCCTCTTCCTACTTTATCCACTACTCACACCGCCTTACCCCTTCTTACCCTTTAGCCCCCATACTCCCCCTCCAATCCTCACTCTTACCCACTCCTGGAAATAAACCCTCCATCCCTATCCATTTGTTTCTTGTTCATGTGTTGCATATAAACATGTACGTTGTTGAACTCAGTTCTGCTGAAGCAAATGACACCTGCCTGTATATACCTTTCTGATCAATAGCAAATGTGTTGCACTTTCCACCCCATCATTTGAAGCCTAATGTCTTGTTCTTTTTTTCTACACAGCCTTGAGGTGTTTTTTAAATTCTGCTATAAGATTAAAACCCTGAAAGGTCCTACTTTATTAATTGCCTTTTTTCCCAAATAACTCTTTAGAGGGTGTAGTAAGTCTTTTCCAACTCTGCTTTTGCACAGATTGCCTACAACAACAAACTATCAACAAAAGGTAGAACACCTGTATTGTTTGCATCAATTCTCAAGGCCTAATTTAAACTGCTGGTTTAAACTCAAGCAGTTTACCTCTTAGCTTTGTACCGTTTAAGGTTATTAACTGGACTTGAACTGCATAGACTCCTGACTTAGTGCTCTCTTAAATCTAATTTAGCAAGCAAGGTTAGCGAAATGTGTATTTTACACCAACCTTTTCTTTCAACCGTCAGGACGCTCAGGTGTCACCACTCTTACCTGTCTGCAGCATCCCGGAGCCGTACTCGCCTCCATAATCCACCGGTGCATCATCAGATGAGGCGGTGCAGAAAAAGAAAAGCGTCCACTTTAACAACCAGCGGAACATCTTCCCTCTTTAATCACCTTGGCAATTAAGAGTTAAAGACATGCAAACAAAACGTGTTAAACCAGTTTCAGTTACAATAAATTCAGGAAAATAGTTGAATAGCGCTTTCCCTTGAAAAAAAAACTGTTAGGCTGGAGCAGCAGTGGTACAAAGAATAACTTCTTACCCTCTTCTCCCTCCTCCTCCGGCGCTAGCAGCAGCGTCTCTGATGCAGTGGTTTCACATCAAAGTGGCGCTAATAAACGCCCCGCCCATTTCTTCTAATATGAACCAATCAAAAGCCTGCATGGTCTCCGCCCGTTCTTTTTAAAGCCTGTCTGCAACTTGTTTACTTTGCTGATTGATGAGGTAGTCTGCAGGACATACCTTTACCATTAAGTGCCAGGGGCGGATCAATAAGGGGGCTTGCCTCACTAGCTGGCCCCCACCCCACGCCTGAATAATTGCTCAAACTAAGTATATACAGTGGGTACGGAAAGTATTCAGACCCCCTTAAATTTTTCACTCTTTGTTATATTGCAGCCATATGCTAAAATCATTT